TCACACATCCCCCTTTCAAGCGGATCCACCTCTGACAATACCTGGTCAACGGTCTGTACCGACCCCTCCTCCATTTGATCCATTGGATCCCCTTGATCTCCCATATCCTGTGTGTACTGAGGGTCTCTGACAATGGGCAATGATAGTTCTGCGGAGGGGGTACCTGATGAAGATGTGGATCCGTGATTGCCCAGAGATCGTTCAGGAAGAGATCTGCAACCCGAAGCTGAGGGTGTTCATCCTGCCTGAATAGCCTGTTGGACGCCTGCTGCTATGCCCTTCTGGATAGCTAACTCCATCCACGCCCTCATGTTGGCAGGGATTTCCTCCAGAAGTTCCTCCTCTTGTCTGAGGCCAGCTGCAGTTGGCATGAATGTTGCCTCTGAAGCCCTCCTTGGGGAGAGAATGTTAGAAAGAGTCTCCTGGGGAGGTTGTATCGATATGCTGCTCCTTCTGGATAAATCCAGAAGGGCGGTTGGAGGATTCTGGGCCTGTGAGGTAGAGGGTATGATGAGTGGTGAAGAGGTGGGCTGTGCAGCTGCTTGTGCACGTTTTTCCATGATGGCGTCTGCGTGCATCTTTCTCTGCTGCCTTAGAGGTCTTTTTGGGCTCCGTGGACTTATCTCTATTTTTAGCAGTTAGTCTAGATCTGGAGTTATAGCTGCTGGCCATGGTAATGCCTTTGATAGCAATGGAAAGAGGCTATGAAATTAGGTGGCTGGAAAACCTAGGGGTCTGCTCCCTTAAGGGGCAGGGGATCCTGGAATAAATAGTTCCCCGATGCCTTTAGCAAATGTTGTCTCCTTGTTCTGTTTTGCTTTGTTATCTATTTATCTATATTTTAATAACTTAAAGATTTGTAGAATTTAAGTCAATCAAGTCAATTTTTGAATAAAGTACTTGTAATATCAAATATGGAGACCAGAACACCCCACTCCAGACCTGGCACCTATATGAGGGCACAGAGGTCTGTAACTGATAATTAGATCTGTTTAGCTGCACTCATTGCTTGTGGAATCCAGCAGTTCAAGTTCTCTATCATCCAGTGGACTGGAGGCAGGGACTCCCCCTTCTCAGGTCCTCAAGAAAAGAAACCTTGTTGGGAAACTTTCTTCACAGACAGCAACAAATACTCAGCAAATTTAACCACACAGCCTTTAAAATGCTGGCTGCCTCGTGGCAGAATGAAAACGGAAGCAGCTATCACCGCCCGGCCTGCTGAAAGCAAAACCGCTCAGTGGGAAGGCGTAGGGGCTAATTCCCCGCCCTGAGGTGTTCTGCGGGGAAAGCCTCGTAATAAAAAGGGGAAAAGGCTGCACTTTTAAATGGAAGCTTCAAACCTCGAAGGGACAGAGCGTTTACTCAGCCGGCTGGGAGATCGGAGAGATAAGCCTCTTTGTTTAGAAGTTTAAGGCAGCATGTCTCTGAAAGGAGAGGCTTTTAGCCTCAGGGCAGATTGGAAAGATAAGCCTCCCTGTTTATGAGGCTTTAGCCTCGGGAGGCTGGAACGTAAAAATAAAACAAAACAAAAAACCGAGCAAAATGACTTTTGGAGGTTCCCAGGGGCGTGGTTGGTGACAGAAACTATGGTATTACCTGACCTGAGAAATAAATCAGCTAAATCGCCAGTGTTCTGTTCCGACCAGGAAAACAATAACACAACCTGTCTGAAGAAAGGCTGAGCTAAAACTGGGGACGCTAAGGAGGAGTCTCGTGGAGGAGGAGGAGTGTCCTCAAGTTTAAGCCCAGCCTTCCTAGAAGGGACTGAAGCACCTCCCATCACTGGATGCTCTGAACAGCTCATGGGACAATTCCCAATCAATACATGAAATAAGGTTAGTATGCAAGTCTGGTTCTTGACAAATCCATGATGACTTCTGTTAATAATTATTAGGTCTGTGCAGAGCAATGTAACTTCACTGTGATGAAATGACCCCCACATCATGAAGCTAATGTGAATTCACTTCATTAAAATAAAAAGGTACCCGATTTACCTAAACAAAGTAAATCATAAACCTTTGGACTATCACCTCAGGATAAGACTTGTCTCAGCCTTTTCAACCTGTATTCACTGAAGTGCTTCCAGATTTGACAGATTTGACAGCAATTTTGGCAAAAAAAAACCTGGAGGAACCTCCAAGCTGGTTGCCTTTGAAATAAGTAATCCTGCAGCTTTCGCTGAAACTATTCTGGAAATGTTTCAACCAATACTCTGGCAGAAGGCTTCTGAAGAAGTCACTTAATAGTCTTCTCCCATGGCTCAAACTCTGAGAGAGAAGGCTAAGAAAATCCTTGAACTACAGTAGGAAGATGAAGCCTCACAAGCCTCATAAACTTTTAACATTAGTATGTGATTTTTAGTGATATTTATAAGAGTGAAGAGGAATTGTCTTGGGCCACATACAATATATACTATATACTTACATTTATTCTTTACACACAAAATGCCTTTATTGCTAGAGCTTGTTGAACAAATATAATAATGAACATGTAATTGGAAATTTTTTACATTTATGATCTATCCAATTATGTGTAGAAGAAGCTAAGCTAGAAGGCAGGGTTAAATATGTCATCAGTTTGGAGTAATTGTGTTGTCATAAAATACCTAAGCCTAGCCCACCCCCCCACCCCCAAATGAATTCTGTTTGCCCTTATTTATCATTAATTTATCTATGACCTTTAGTTGACTAGATTCTTGCCTTACAGGTAGCAATAATAAACTTTTCTGTGCTTTGAACTCAGTGAATGTTCCTGGTTAGTCATGCCTGACATTGTATGAAATCAAGTGATTGGGGGGAAAATTCAAAAATAATAAAGTTGACGACATTGTAAACTTAAGGAATTTTGGTGAACTATTTTTTTAGATTCTGAAACTGGTATATGCTATTCTTTAGAAATGTAAAGGTCCATAGCCAACTGTTCTTTCAAAACTCATGTGCCACAATAAAATGACCAAGATGCCTTACTTAAAGAAATTACTGTATTCATATTAAAGCAGTACTGAGCTTGCATTTCATCTTTTGCATTCAAGCATACAGGTCTCCTGTTCAAAATTATTTCATTTTAAATGCTAATAACTAAAAAACTGCTGTTTCTATTACACAAGGATATAATACAATATTATATAGTCCATGTAATCACTATTTTATTTCTTATTATTCAGACATGACCAAAATGGAAACTGACTTTTTAATTTAACTAGATTTTGCATAATGTGTTGTGACTTTCTCTCCGTTTTCATAGGTTCATTTTTATTGTCCTGAACCCTGTTGCTGCATTAATGAATGTTCAATTCCTCACCATTTCCAAAAAACAAAAATGAGATTTTGTAAAACTGCTGCTATAAGATGATTTCCTGCAAATTCTGTTTATTTCCTTAATATTAAGTTGCTGATAAGAGGCACATCTCTCAAAGGCCTAAAACTACTTGGTTATTTTGGATAACAGAGATAGCTGACAGAAAAGAATATAGTAGGTTAAGGTTGAACTGTGCAGTCCTTGGTGTTGTACGAACTTGTTTGTTTACAGACATTTCATTGCAAAACTAGGTAACACACTAGCAAGCACTGATGATGTTATCTGCTGGTAATGTATTATCTAGTCAGGTAATGAAATATGTGCAATCAAACAACCAAGTCAGAGAGTATCAGGAATTTCAGAGATATCGAATTCAGCATTGTGCAATGTGGTTTAAACATTAGTTTTTCTCCAAGCATTTTTCCAAAGTAATAATATGCATCCACTAACTGCAAAACACAAGTATAAAATGTCTGTGGGACTTAATACTTCTCCCTTAAATAAAGACAGAGCGAAACTAACAAAACTGTGAACTTTGAAATAATCTTTCCCAATCTTATGATAATAGACCTTTGTGTCGTGAAATGATTTGGAACAGATTAAGGACAAGTTAAAAAGTATTTGTTCACATTAAATATATTATCAGTTTATGGGCTTTACTTTCCTGAAGTATGTACTGACTTTAAGTTTTCTTTAAAAATAATTTAAAAGCACTATGGTGGACAGGTTTAATAGTAGGCTATTAGCATGATAAATGAGACTTGTATGTCCAGAAGCAATTTGAACTCTACACATCATTCTTCTTATGATCCTTCTGATTTTCACATCATCTTAAACTACTCCATCAGGCCATTGTATATTCCACCTGTTTCATTCGCGTTCTGTAGTATTCACAAACATGCTTTGAAATGTAAAATGGAGGCAGGATAATGGCACACAGTTTTCCTAATAAAATATCCAAAATACAGGGTAATGCACTACAAAGTTACTTCCATTTGATGCAAAGACAAGATATTTCTCAGAAGTGGCCAGAGACCAGATGTTTTGTACATTACAATATGCCACCACTTCTTTGCAGTCTATGTCTTCCAGTGACCGGGGTATATTTTGCAGTAATGTAGGGTAAATTGCTGTGTGGTAAGATTTAATATCTTAGTTTCAAATGATGAGAATAGGAGGAATATTTCTCCTTCACGATGTCCTGTTTATAAAACTTTCCTGAAAGGTATTAGCCCATTCTATGTAGGAAATAGAATGTTAGACTAGATCATTTTGTGTCAGTTTGATGGTTTTAGATTGGAACTTATAGATCAACATAACTGGAAAGCACAGTCTGAAGAAGGCTGCACTAGAGAGACTAGCTGATATGACTTTCCATGTTTCCTTCTATAAATGTGATTTTCAAAATTTCAGAAAAAAAAAACACCCCCATCCATATATGTCTGGATGAAAGGCTCTTTATAGCTCACTAATGCAATATTTTCAAGCTTGGAGGACAGAACATACTAGTTCACAACCCGGATTAAGACAGATAATAAAGAATGATTTGTGAATAACATGTAAGAGATGAAAACTAGCATTCAGGGTTTATTATGTTTTCCTATGAAATATGCTGATGCTTTGAAAACAATGGAATATGGATGGTTACAGAACATAAACGTTGGAGATTTGGCATATGTGCCAAGCACAGCAAGGCATGTTACCTTGAGGGCATTAACCATCGCTTCAGGCTGCTGAGAAGATAAGGAGGCCTGTTCATTGAAGCTAGCTGGATGGCTCGGAGAACAGACATTCCCATCTGCCTCTGATGGCATCCTAATGGGATCCTTAGTAAAAAAAAATCAAAAGCTATTTAACAGTAAAAAAGTAGGCCAAGCTAATCAAACAAAACAATTCCCATACCCACCCTTCCTCTTTATTTTAATTCCCATTGGGCAAACACAAAATCCACACATATATACAATTCTAAAATGTGTATCATAGTCCCTCATAATGAAGGATGTTCCTGGTGCAGCAAATGGTCTTTGGGTGAAGTTTCTACATATTTCTGTCATATCAGGATAGTGTCAGCCCTATCAGATAGACCAGATTAAGAAACAGATGTGTCTGCCTAAAGCTACTTTAATAAGAACATTTGTAGCACACTAATAGGACCTTTCAAGTTTGAATCTGCTTCCTTTCTTCCCTCTTATATCTCCATGAGAATTGGAAGGGGAGGGGTCATCCTGTCTGAGACATTTATCTAAATCTTTTTCTTCATATGGGTTCAAACTACATTTATCTGATTGTTGCCTTGGTAACAATCTTCCCGCTATTTATCAAGACCATATCCTATAAGCTCTACAAATAACAACAAGCCTTGATTAGTCTTTGGAACCAAAATTTTTAACTTTGGTCCAATACAAATTACAGCAGGTTTAAATCCTACTGCAAACAAGTTCAATTTAATATGCCTTATTAATTTTCACAAGATTTAAGCATAGCTGATTCCATCAAATTGAGACCAAGTGTATTATTTTTACAAACGCAACAAGACCACACTGTATTAATCTAAGATATGGTATCTATCATTATCAGGAAGAGGGAAATGGGTTTACAAATCAGTCTCAGATCCACTAACCTACGCATTGTACATTAAAATGTCTGATCACAATCTCCATTTTCCAATGATTTTACTTGTTTTACACAAATCCCTTTGAAAGTAAAGTTCAAAATGCTTCCTGTGGTGTTTAAAGGAGTTCAAGGTGAAACTGCAGTTGCTGGGGCAACCTAATCCAGCCATTTGCTTTGGTAAAATGCTAAAAATATCCTTTCTGCAAGGAAGGTAATAATAGCTTGGCTAGTCACAACCAAATCAAATCAGATCAGATTCTTCAGAGATGCTTGTGATATTATCAACTAGCTTTGCCTCTCCCCCACCCTTCCATTTAATTAAAACATTGAGAAGAAACAGTCCGGGGGGGGCCGAGGCAGGGAAGGAGCGCACAATCTTAGTTAAGGATTGTCTTAAGCCAAAATGAACAATTTTTCAGGCCAAGTGAGGGATAATTTCCACAATGAATGAATGAACAAATGTAATATTTTTGACTCAATTGTTTAATTGGGTGCTCTATCTAATTTTAGAATATGTGTGGAGAACAGATCACACTTTAGATCGTATTTATGCAGAAATCATGAATATTGAAGAGAGTTCAGACATTTGCCTCAGATTTTTGTATGACAGTTTGCTTTTGTGCAAGCTCAATTCCTGCAAGTTTTGCAACATCTTAAAACTGTCTGAATCTAGCTCCTGCCCATTAGATCTCTCCATAGCATTTTATGAGAGTTTGCCTAAGTGGTAAATGCCTTATTCCATCCAATTGCTCAGTCATTTTATTATGCAAGCTAAAATAAAGTTTTTCTTCTTTTTAATAAAACCCATTTTAAATCACAAGGTAAGGCTGATGTTCTCTAGCCATTATCTCAAAACTGTTAGGGCCAGATATACGTTACAGAGTTGATTTTCCTATGGTTATTTCTATTATGCCCAGTTTATGCCTGAATAAATTCCCAGGCTGCGAGAGAGTTTCATTTCTATCACATGCTGTCTTCCACCCACCCCTGACCCTGGGAAGATGGTGGTGGCGGAGGCAAACTATTATACTAGTGTAGACAGACATTGTGCCATGCGCCCCAGGACAAGAGAGGTGGAAACAAAAGAGGTAGGTGGAGGAGTCAAGACCCTTTCACCCACAGCATGTCTTCAACATGTCAGCTATAAATGTCTCCTAAAATTGGTATCATAGCTGCCTTTCATTCAGAAATTTCCTGCATCTGTCTCACACACACTCTCACACAAATACACTTGAAGCACTGTCAAAACAACA